GAGAAGGGTTCAGGGTAAAGTCCCTGACATGTCCAGCGGGAGAGGGGTTGAGGGTAAGGTCCCTGACATGTCCAGCGGGAGAGGGGTTCAGGGTAAGGTCCCTGACATGTCCAGCGGGAGAGGGGTTGAGGGTAAAGTCCCTGACATGTCCAGCGGGAGAGGGGTTGAGGGTAAAGTCCCTGACATGTCCAGCGGGAGGGGGGCTCCGGGTCCCTGACATGCTGCAGTGATTATATCTCACAGCTGGTTTGGGAACGTCTCCCAGAAAAAACCAGAGTGTGGTTTCCGTGCAGGAAGTCGAATCTGACCTGCTTCTCATACGGCTACGGGGACCCTCACAAGTAAAAATGGCAAAAAAAAGATTAAGGTGAAGGAAGAAGATGAAGATGAAGGGTGTAGAAAAGAGGTTTCAGGCCAAATGCTTTCTCATGTGGTTCTGGGCAGAAGCACTGAAATGCACTCTGTTACGCATTCTAGCTACTCCATCTAGCAATAAATCAATCTGCTGAATTAACAAATACTGAGCTTTTGAAAGCATTGTCTTCTTCAGCAGGCATCTTTTGCGACAAGCTTGCGCTGTCAGAGATGCTAAAAGAGACAAGAAATTGGATTAATTGCAATTACAGAAGATTTAATTACCAAAGACGGTCTTGCGTGTATCACTGAGTAGGAAATTACTGCATCAGTGCTGCATAACTAATGTGTTTTCTATCACCAGGCTGCTAACAGTATCAGACTATATCCTTTGAAGTCCTTCATCAGTTTAAGTTAATGTTCCCTGGTAATGTAAGCTGTCAGCTATATCAGATAAATTGAGCAGATGTTCATCATCTAACCTTTAAATGCCCAGACATGACTGTTATTGATTAATTTAAAAAGTCTTTCTGTGTAATAAAGACCAAGCATGTACATTATGATCTACTTTATAATAGAATACAGATAATAATTTCTTATAAAAATTCTGTGAATGACACAGAAACCTACTTAATATTATGGGCATAAAAATTACGAAATAATTATTCACAGTACAATAATATAAACTGAGCCTCAACCTCGACCACTATACTTGTAGAGGCTGATCTCTAATTATTGAGGCTGTACACATTCCACAATTACCTTATTTATCTTCCCAGGACCCTGCTCAGTGTCAGAGGTTGGTAGATGAGTGGCTGGATGGATTATTTATCTTAGTTGCTAATTATTTTAACAGATCTGTGACAAAGGGTTATATGAAGAGTTCAGATTTCAAGTTTTACTTATAAAATACTTTTCCACCTGTTTCCTGGATTGTGCTTGAAGGAAATATGCAATAAAAATATTTTTTAAATTAATATAAAATATAAGGATGAATAAGAATAAAATAAATGTAGCAATAAAAATTAATTGACTGAAAAGGAGACAATAAAAATAGTGAGCAGAATATCAGTGATTATAAAAAGATGTGCAATGAATGTTTGGCATGGTGTAAAGTGACAACAGTAGTTTGTTAGCTGTAGTCCTTGTTCAAAATGAAATGAGCATAATACCAAACTCTAGAGACAAAGTGTCAATTGTTTTTCTTGGTAAAAGGAACTTGTGTCATGAAACTTTAGATTACTTAATGGGCCATATTCATCCAGTGTAGAACTTGGATTAGATAAGAAAATATTAAGATGGATAATAAAAGATCTGATGGCTAAGAAAAGATACCACAAACCAACAAATCCTAAATAACAGCAGATCATGTTGCATTAAAACGCGATGCCTCCTTTATTAAGAACAAATAATTTTGCAAAAGCATTTGAATTGCAAGGAAGAAGTTGTTTACAAACCAATTTACCTACCTAACTTTTTTTAATTATTTATCCTATAAAAGATGGATCACCGCAAAAAAAACTAAATATTTCTTTGTTTCATTATAACCAGGCAGACTTTTGACAAACAAAATCATTATGTTTACATTAACATATGAATGTAGTTACACACTGTTCTCTCTGAAATTGTACTAATTAATTGATTTTATCGTTTATAATATGTCTAGTACACATGGATGTCTTTTTTTTTTTTTTGATGTCTGATTATGTCAATAATATCACTGCATCAGTGGGACCTAAATGAACAAGTTTCCATCATTTATTTAATGGAAATCAATTCAGTGTTAACAGTGAGTGCTGCCCTCC